AATTAGAGCTTGGCAACAATGTGAAATGGTGCCCAATCGTAAGACATGTAAACTAGCTTACATGTATTTCAATCCTAAAACACATAAGGTAACAAAACAAAAAAAAAGGCTAGTTTTCATTTAATTATAATCGAGAACAATATATTTCTATGAAAATAAATAGGATGGTACACCATTACGACCAATCATGCATACTATTGATTCACCAACGACGAATATCTCACGACTTTTAGATCGATTCATTCGACCAATATTTAACGACAACGCTAAACTAACTACTATTATTGATGGTGCTCACCTCATTAAACGACTTCAAGAATATGCTAATGCTGGACATTTAAAACCAACTACTTTATTTTGTACTTTTGATATTAATAATTTATATACAATGCTACCACAACAACAATCACTTGATATTCTTCAAGAATTTCTTCAAACTTATGAAAAATCACACGTCAGAGGAATCGATATTGCAACTATTCGTGAATTAGCTCGTGTTGTTATAGAAGAAAATGTTTTTGTCTATCATAACAAATACTATCAACAGATTATTGGTGGAGCAATGGGATCACCATTTACATTAACTTTAGCAAATATATTCATGTGGAAATGGGAAAAAGAATCAATTTGCAAAGAATTACCTTCCCCCGAAATTTATGGCCGGTATGATATCTTTAAAATTTTGCTCAAAATTGATTTCTTCTAATAATTCTAGGTATATTGATGATATTTTTTTTACATGGAATGATACTCAAGAAAATCTCGAACAACTACTGAAAAAACTCAATAATCATCATCCTAATATTAAATTAGAATATAAAATAGGTCAAAGTCTTCCATTTCTTGATGTTCTACTTACGAATAATAATGGTGCTCTTTCGACATCTGTCTATCGTAAACCAGCTTCTGAACCTTATGTGGTACCATTTACTTCTGATCATCCTCACCATATATTTCGAAATATTATTCGAACTGCACTTTTACGTGCTATAAGATACTCTTCTACATTCGAAGCATTCAATGTTGAACGACGCAATATACGATTAATGTTATTATATAATGGGTAAGCTAATAAATCTAGAATAAACAATGTACAAATTGAGAATTTTAATTCGTTTAATAAATGTCTAGTTATCCATCAACATATATAAATAAAGAATTTCATGCATTCTTTAATCAATTCCATCAATACGATTCATATTCTTCCATTCTATCGATGATCAAAGACGAAAATCAATTTAACGCCATCCATAATCATATTGCACCAACATCTACCCATAGACAATCACAAATAGCTTCCGATATAGCATTGTCTCAAGTTAACGACAATGAGTACGAAAACATTATGCAAATTCAAGCTACAAATCCAACGGCCACGAAGAACGACAGAAAGAAAAAGCTCAAACGAGTACTATTTCTACATACCACATACGAGAAAAGATTACGATCTCTCAAACACGACATACATGAAACCTACAAAAATACTTTTAATGATTCAACTCTCAAAAGCATTAAACTGATTGTTGGAAATAAGAATAATCCAAAAGGAAAAACTGAATTCATAAGAAAAAAACGTCCACATGAATCCCTTCGTCGACATGATTTCATACCAAGTAAGTAACACTTTAGTAACACATACACTCATCCAATTAGATTCAAAAAACAATTATTCTGTTAAATAGAACGCAAACGTCCACCCAAACCCACAACAACCTGACAAATTTCAACATCTACTACAATATCCATCTTAGCAGTATTCTCCTTCATTTTACATATATATGTACAATTACTTTCTTCTACCTGCAAACTTAAAAAAAAAGAAACAATTATCACCATATTCAACCATAATTAACTTCATATTCTCCCTTCTTTCGGTTTATTTCAGCCCTATTATTTTCTTCTCTGTATTTCAGATGTAAGAATCAAAAGTCAACAATCAACATAACGCCACAACCAAACCCAATCAACTACAATCCGAACTCAATCAACAACTACAAATTAATCATGATTTCCTCACCCGATTATCAATCCAATCGCTTACAGTCAGGTAAGACCCGGTCGTGGTACGCTCTTCTAAATTGTATCACAAGTTTCTTCTAATTCTACACTTTGCTAATTGCGTTTTCATACAACAGTGTAGATGAAATTTTAGTTTAATTCTTAAATATTAGAATTAAGCAAAAATGTCTTAAGCCACTTGAGAAGATCCTTGAGCAAGATCGAAACCGGTCGTGGTAC